GAGGTCTCACCAAGTTGCCCAGGTGGGTCTCAAACCCACGGGCTCAGGCAATCCACTCACCTCAGCCTCCCAAAGGCGCGGGATTACAGGCTGAGCCATCAAGCCTGGCTGCCATTGTTTTTATTTGACCCATGAGCTAAATGTTGGGGGAAAAAAATTCAAAGGAATCCTATTTCAGGAACGTGAAAATTACATGAAATTCACAATTCAGTGTCCGAAAATATAGTGTTCTTGGATGACAGCCATTACATTCACGTGTGTGTGGTCTGTGGCCGCCTCTCGCTACAGAGTCGGTGGCTGCCACAGAGACCATATGGTCCGGGGAGCTGTAAATATATACTCTGTGGCCTGCAGGCCACTGTGTGCTTCCTCACAGCTTAGACCAAAATCTGGAAGTCAGTCTTGTTCTTCTGTTGTTACACCTCCACAGCCATTCCGTTGGCAAACTTTCTTTCTTTTTTTTTAATTTTTAATTTCTTTTTTTTGAGTTGGAGTCTCACGCTGTCACCCAGGCTAGAGCGCAGTGGCATGCTCACGGCCACCACAGCCTCAACCTGCTGGGCTCAGGTGATCCTTCCGCCTCAGCCTCCCAAGTAGCCGAAATCACAGATGCATGCCACCACACCTGGCTAATGTTTTGATTTATTGTAGTGATGAGGTCTCACTATGTTGTTCAGGCTAGTCTCAAATCTCCGCACTCAGGCAGTCCTCTTGCCTTGGCCTTTCAGTGTGCTGAGATTACAGGTGTGAACCACCATGCCTGGGCCATTGGCATCATTTCATTTCATTTTATTTGTTAGGGTCTCACTCTGTCACCCAGCCCAGAGAGCTGTGGTGAGATCCCAGCTCACTGCAGCCTCAAACTCCTGGGCTCAGGCGATCCTTCCACCTCAGCCTCCTGAGTAGCTGGGACTACAGACATGCACCACCACACCTGGCTAATTTTAAAAATTTTTTTGTGGAGACAAGGTCTCGCTGTGTTTCCCAGGCTGGTCTTGACCTCCTGGGCTCAAGCGATCCTCCTGCCTCGGCCTCCCAAAGGGCTGGGATTACAGGGTGAGCCACCACGTCCGACCTTGAGGCCTCTCTTCTTGGCTTGTAGGTGGCCACCTTCTCCCTGTGTCTTTAGATGGTCCACCCTCTGTACCGTCAGTGTCCAAATTTCCTTCCCTTACAAGAACACCACACTTGCTTGATTAGAGTCCACTCTGATGACCACACTTTACCTTACTTATCTATCTATCTATCATTTATCCATCTATTTATTTATTTGAGTCGGGGTCTCACTCTCACCTAGGCTGGAGTGCAGTGGCACAATCATGGTTCACCATAGCCTCTGCCTCCTAAGTTCAGACAATCCTTCCACCTCAGCTTCCCAAGTTGGTGGGACTATGGGTGCATGCCATCACGCCTGACTATTGATTTTTTTGTTGAGATGAGGTCTCACTATGTTGCCCAGGTTGGTCCTGAACTCCTGGACTCACACAATCCTCCCATCTTAGCCTCCCAGAGTGCTGGGATTACAGGTGGGAGCCACCATGCCCGGCCTAATTATCTCTTTAAAAACGATGTCTTCAAATATAGTCACATTCCGAGGTACTGGAGGTCAGGACCCCAACATGTGAACTTTTGGGAGAGAAACACTCTTTCACCCACAGCACTGCAATTAACTGATTACTGTCCAGTTCTTCTTGGATGAAACTCCAGAACCACAGGGACTTTGTTAGTCTCGTTTATATTTTATTTTATTTTTTTTTAGTCAGAGTCTCACTCTGTCACCCAGGCTGGAGTGCAGTGGCATGATCATGGCTCACCACAGCCTTGACCTCCTGAGCTAAGGTGATCCATCTGCCTCAGCCTCCGAGTAGCTGGAACTACAGGTGTGTACCACCACGCCCGGCTAATCATTTGTCTATTGTATTATATATATTTTGTAATAAGAGCTCAATGAAGAGCTGTTGGATAAAGCAAGGATGCAAGAATTAGCAAAGGAGTGAAGGGAACGCCTTGTCTAGAGGTTTCTCTGTCTTCTCTTGTGGAGCAGGGGGCTGCTAAACCTCGACTGGCTGCACTCTGCAGACCCCTGGCTAAACCACAGGGGAGTTGGGGGGCAGGGAGGAAGGAGGGCCAGGAAAGGGGGTTGGGGCTGAACTCCAGGGTGTCAGAGAGGAGGCAGCTGGATCCATGACTCATGGAAGACCCTCAGAGCGTTCCATTGACCCACTCCTCCCACCTCTGCAATTCCCTTACCACCTCTCCCCGCCCCAAGCCTCTTTGTTCCGGGCCACACTGACCAAACTTCCTCCCTCCTTCCCTTCCTCCCTCCCTCCCTCCCTCTCTTTCCTTCCTTTCTTTCTCCCTCCCTCTCTCTGTCTTTCCTCCCCCCCTTCTCTCTCTCTCTTTCCTTCCTTCCTTCTTTGTTTCTTTCTTTCTGAGATGGGGTCCCTCTTTGCTCTGGTCAGGCTTCTTTTTTTTCTCCTTCCTTTCTTCCTTCCTTCTTTCCTTCCTTTCTTCCTTCCTTCCTTCTTTTCCTCCCTCCCTCCTTCCCTCACTCTCTCCCTCCCTCCTCTTCTGCCTCCTTCCCCCTCTCTCTTTCTGATGGGGTCTCACTATGTTGCCTAGGCTGGTCTCAAACTCCTGGGCTCGGGCAGTCCTCCCACCTCGACCTCCTAAAGTGCTGGGATTACAGGCATGAGCCACCACACCCGATCGACCTTTTCTCTTTCCTCAAGCACAACATGCTCTGTCTTACCACAGGGCCTTTGTGTTGGTCATTCCTTCTGCTTGGAACAGCCATGGCTTAGTGTTGCATATGGCTGGCTTCTTGTCATCCTTTAAGTCTCGGTTCAAATGGCTTTTCATGATGACACCCTCTAAAGTCCCCACTCCACCCCTGGGTGTCACCCTCCCTGTTTTTATTTCCCCCCTATCGGGTATCACTGTCTGAAATTACCTTGTCTACTCATTTGTTTATTTTGGAAGTTGCAACCGGGCAGCCTGCAGGCCAGTGATGGCCAGGAGATGAGCTTTGTTTGGCGAGCAGTATGCAAAGATTTTTTTTGGGTCGTGTACAGAGGAGGCTCATGCCTGTAACTCCAGCACTTTGGGAGGCTGAAGCAGGAGAATTGCTTGAGCTCAGGAGTTCAAGACCAGCCTGGGCAGCATAGCAAGAACTCATCTCTACAAAAAGTGAAAAAAAATATTAGCTGGGTGTGGTGGCACATGCTCGTAGTCCCACCTACTTGGGGGGCAGAGGAAGAAAAATCGCCTGAGCCCAGGAGGTCGAGGCTATAGTGAGCTGTGATCGTGCGCACTGCACTCCAGACTGGGTGACAAAGGGAGACCCCAACACACAAAATTTTTTTTTCTGAGCTGACAATTAAGGGTGGGCAAATTCCCATGAAAATGATCACGTAACCAATTCTGGCTAGTCTTGAAAAATCAGAAGGTCTGGCAAGTTAGGATCCCATTTCCGAAGGGCTGTGGCTGACTGGTGCTGGACTTGGTTTCTGTTAGTCCTTGTTCCCACCTTGCTTGCCAGCTGGTTGTGTGTTTATATTTTCTCCTCAGCCCCATGGGCATGTGAGTCCTGCAAGTCTTGGCTTATTCATTTATACCTCCTTCTTTCAAGTAGAATATAAACTCCATTTGGGCAGGGTCTTTATCTTGTTTTTATTTTTTGTTCTCTCATTTGCCTTTTTTTTTTTTGAGTTGGGGGTCTCATTCTCTGCCCAGGCTGGAGGGCAGTGGCACGCTCACAGGTCACTGCAGCTTCGACCTTCTGGGCTCATGCGATCCTCCCGTTTCAGACTCCAGGGAAGCTGGGACCATTGGTGCTCGCCACCAAGCCTGGCTAATTTTTTAATCTTTTTGTAGAGACAAAATCTCGCTATGTTGTCCAGGTTGGTCTCAAATTCTTGGTCTCAGGCAATCCTCTCATCTCAGCCTCCCAAAGTTCTGGGATTTTAAAGCCATGAGCCATCGAGCCGGTCTTTGGTTTTGTTTTTTTATCAGATTGAATTGAACTTGACTTTAATAAAATTTTGTGAACCCCATCACTAGCACTCTTTTTTTTTTTGAGTTGGAGTCTCACTCCATTGCCCAGGCTAGAGAGCAGTGGCATAATCAAGGCCACCCCAGCGTCGACCTGCTAGGCTCAGGCGATCTTTCCACCTCAGCCTTCCAAGTAGCTGGAACTACAGGCACATACTACCACACCCGGCTAATTTTTTCATTTTTATTGTAGAGACAAGTTTCACCAAGTTGCCCGGGCTGGTCTCGACTCCGTGGTCTCAGGCAGTCCTCTCACCTGGGCCTCCCAAAGTGCTGGGATTACAGGCTTGAGCCACCACGCCCAGCCTATCACTCTTTTTTTAAAAAAAATAATTTTTAGAGTTGGGTCCCTGCTCTGTCATCCAGGCTGAAGCCCAGTGGTTCAATTATAGCTCACGACAACTTCAGCCTCCTGGCCTCATGTGATCCTTTTACCTTGGCCTCCTGAGTAGCTGGGACTACAGGTGCACACCGCCATGTCTAACTAATTTTTTGACTTTTTGTAGAGACGAGGTCTTGTTATGTTGCCCAGGTTCGTCTCAAGCTCCTGGGCTGAATCAATCCTCCAGCCTCAGCCTCCCAAAGTGCTGGGATTATGGGTGTGAACCTCCACACCCGGCCTCCGCTTTCTGTCTCTGTGAATTTGTGTCTTATTTTCCTCTTTGTCTTCAGCTTCCCCAATGGTGCCCTGCTGTACAGCAGGTGTTTAGTAAGTATTTGTGAGTGCATGCGTGGGAAGGTGTGGCATGTGTGTGGGGGGGCCTCCCAGGTAGGTGTCTTGGTGCAAGCATGGGACGGAGTGTCTGGGGGGGCACTGAGGCCTCCGCTGGGGTCCCCGCGGGGCGGGGGAGGGGGCCTGAGCGCAGCTGTCCCCTCTCCTCTCTCCGTAGGCCTGCTTCTCCTGGTGAGCCTGGAGGTGTTCCGGCATTCCATGCGAGCCCTGCTGCAGAGGGTCAGCCCCGAGCCTCCCCCGGCCCCGCCCCTGGCCTACGAATACTCCTGGTCCTTGGGCTGCGGCGTGGGGGCCGGCCTGATCCTGCTGCTGGCGGCCGGCTGCTTTCTGCTGCTCACGCTGCCTTCCCGGCCCTGGGGGTCGCTGTGTCCCAAGCGGGGGCACCAGGCCACTTAGAGCCACCTCCAAACCCTGGCACTGTCTTCTTTCCCCCCTCCCCCAAATCTTTTGTTCCGTCTCGTAGAGCAGCAGTCCCCAACCTTTTTGGCATCAAGGACCGGTTTCGTGGAAGATATTTTTCCACGGACAGTGTGTAGGGGAGATAGTGTGTGATCACATTCTC